GGTAGAATGACTTATCTGGTGACTAAATCAGAACCAGCTCAGAGACACAAGGCAACCAGAGCTGAGACATTAAAGGGACTGGAAAAGAGAATACAGATTAAGGAGCCACCTTGGAAAGGAAATAGCATATGAACTACTAGAAACCAGAAAGGCTGTCATTCTTTTTGGATCATGGAGAATTTCCTAGGACCTGTCATGACACATGAATGGATTCAAATGACAGCTATGAAAGAAAAAAAAAACTGATATAATTAATTGAAAGGTATACTAGTAGGAATGTAAGAAGGCAAGTGGGTATGAAAGAAGTGAGAGGATCAAGGACTATTCTATGGCATTTTGCAATTGATTGGAACATGAGTAATTGCTCTGGTACACAGAACAAATGAACTTGAAAGACTGAATATTACTTTGGTCTATCCAGCCCTCGTACCTGGTGTTAGAGTGGCCTCTCATCTCGGTGCTTCCCCACTGAAGGTTCTTTGAGAAGGTAACACTGTCCTCTTAAGTGCTAACTTGCTTTGACAAGACAGCTTCTCCCAGGATATCCCCACAGGCCAGCGCCTACTCTCTGACTCATTGCAAGTATCCATGCGCACTGAACTCATAAGTCATCATTATTTCTATGGGCAACCACGATTTCTGTTAACACTGGAATGATCTTTTTGTGCATAAATATAGTGAGCTGCGTCCTCTCTTCACTACCAACCCTCCCCGCCCCAGGAACTATGCCTTAATAGAAATGAGGTGATAGGCTCAAAGTAGAACATTCGGGGGTTGGGATTGGAGTACTACCCCGAGGGTTGGATTGCTTCTCCAGGAACAGATAGCCTCTGGGACAGGAAACAGGACTGTTGTGGTTAGGTAGTTTGGCCTAGGTACTGGTAGCAAAGTTGGCATGTGCCAGAGGATAAAACCTGTGATCATCGTAAAATCTAATTCTAGCCTCTCATTAGGAAAGCAAAATGCATTTAGCTTCTCTTGGAAAGTTGGTCTCCCTGCTTATCATCTCCTCTGTTCCGTGCCATCAGTTTCACACTAAGAGTTCTTCACCATCCATGGTCCAGCCAGCTTCTTGCTTGTTAAGGCAGAAGAATCTCCCTGGCTTTCCTACTTAACTGCATTGCAGACCCTTGCCTGTGTGTTTGCCACACTTCACTTGCTTAAATTTTTACTCCCTGTCTATTCTCTAAGCTCTCCAATCCTGCTTGGAAGATCTTGTAAGTAGCCTTTCTATGCCAATAGACTTCTCCCTCCTGGTACCTTCCCCTCTGTATCCTCGGGCCTAGTAAGGCTTCAGAGTCAGGAAGGATTTTATTACTATCTACTGAATAATACTGCTTCCGTTGCACCCTAATGGAGAATCAGGTGAAAATTCAAAGATTTTAGGAAGCTTGCTTTCTTGGTAAGGACCAAGCCTTCCTATGTAGAAATGCCTTGTCTGGCCCCTCTGCTTATGTTCCACTACAAGCAGAAGCCCCTCTCCCAAAGCTGAAAAAATGTGTGCAAAGTGTGTTGGGCCACCTGCATAGCTGGTTTAGGGACAGAGCACAAGGCAGAGTTTTCCTGGGGTGGAGAATGCAGCAATCTTTCCCACAGTGCTCACTTGTAGATAGTTCTGTCCCTTAACTTCTAGATAACCATTCTTCCTCTGGAATAGTGTATCTAAGCATGTTCTTTCTTTGGGCATAGACAAGGTTCAAGAATAGATGTGGTGATGGGGGCTGTTCTTTTTTGTCTGTATGTTTATATAGACCATGTAACTAACAACTATGTAGCATTTACTATATAATGTCAGGCATGGTGGTAAATGTGAGATAGATACAGGTATAAATTATAATTTCAGTTTCCACAACAATATGAAATTGTGAGGTAGATAGTAATATTACTTCCATTGTACAGCTGAGAGAAAAATACTTGCCCAAAGTCACAGAGTTAAAGTAATTGAGCTGGGATTCCACCCAGGAAGACTGGCTCCAGAGTCTGCTTATAGGCATTATGCTACATTTTTGTGTGTGTATGTGCATAAGACAGATTTTATTTTCACAAACATATATATTTAGCTGACCTAGCTCCTATCGTCCTTAACCCTAACCAAGTAATTTACTTCACTTTAACTTAAAGCAAAGATGAAAATAACAGAAATCCCTTGCCCAAATCATTCTTCCTCCTGCAAGGGAAAAGGTGCTTTCTAAATGGATAGAGACCAAAAGAGTTGCTTTGAGCCAAAAAGTGCTTTGCAGTTTAGCTAAGGCAGGATTTAGAAATGGCGTGAACAATGCCTGCATTAGCCAATGCCATGGAATTGCTGAGTGCCAGCAAAGGAGATAAAATCAGACATATGTTTGGATATAAATGTTCTTTCTTTTTCCCTTCCTTCCCTTTCCCCCCACCCCTCCTTCATCTTTCTCTTCCCTTCTGCTGCTTTGTTGCATTGGAGCTTTAATTGTGGGCCCTGGCCCCCTGAGGTAGAAGCCTAGAGTAAGGTTTACTTAGCCTTCTTCAGTAACCAGTCATCACCACTGAAGGAAGCCAGAGGCCATGTACTGTGGCCCTCTTCCCTGCCAACAATAGGAATTGTCTTGCAGCACCCAGCAAGTTGCTGGCCTCAATACATGTTAAATAGCCATGATAAAGCTAATGTCTCTAGGCCTTAGAAACTAGCCTGTCTACCTTCATTGATAGTAGGATGCAGCATTACACTGAAGGGTGATAAGAAGCCCTGAAGCAGATTATAGAAGTGACAATCACAGCATGGCATTTAAAGCACTAAGGCTGGGAAGATAGAGCAGAGTGAAGTAATGAAGGACCCCCCTCCCACCACCACCAATATCTCCATTTTGTGGCCAAATGACTAGAAACCACTGCTCTATGAAGAATTTCTATGGTACAGCCTTCAAGACTTCTGACAATCCTCTACTGTACAAAGCTTTCCAGCCGAAGTTTGGAAAGAAGCCAAGCCAGCTTTCTCATTGTAAACATACCATCTTACCTACTTCATCTTTTCTCCCATAGCTTTACTCTGGGATTCTGCAGTTTCTGTCTGCCATTGGGCCTACGAATCAGGAAAGAGTTACATGTTGTCTTGAGAATCCAACCCTTTAGTGAGCATATGTGAAGCTCCTGTGCTCAGAATTTTGTTCATGCCTTGCATAGTAATAGTTTAGTGACAGAGCGAACAGCTTGTGGTAAAAAGGAGACCACAAAAGTATCTGTAGGAGGTCCCATTTTGACATGGAAAGAAACAGTTTCTTGATAGCCAGTGAGAAAACACAGTTTATACTGGGAGACTAATCGTGGGTTTTAGTTCTGCCTCTGTCGCTAACTAGCAGTGTGATCTTGGATATGTCTTTCCGTTTCTCTGGGGCTCAGTTTCCTTGACCATAAGATGCAAAGAGATTAAACAAAATGGTTTTTCATGGCCTCAAATTCTATAATGAAAATTCTGTAATTCCTTATACTTAGCCACAGTTTGCTGTAACTAACCTGATGAAGAGCTATCAACCCACGTTCCATTCCCAGGTAACCATCTTTAAAGTTCGGCCAGGCCCAATGATGAGTCACCAAAGCAGCCTTAAAGGCTCACTTTGGATACTCATGAGGCTCCGCTGAAAAGCTGCCCTATGTGCTGCTTAGAAGAGGATAAACTCAGCATTATGGCAAAGAAAGGCCCCGCTCCAAATGCTGAACTGGTGCCAGACGGAAGGGTGGGCCATTAAGGAATTGCCATTGCAGCACTCAGGGGAGGAGTCATCCTCTCTGGTCTCCCCAAGTCTTGTAAGGTTTCTTCTAGAAAACATTTCTCCTTCAGATTCCAAGACCTGATATATTTCTTATCCCTAGGATAAATGCCATTCTTCTTAGTTCTTTTCCCACAAGTGTTTTTGGCCCATTCTCTTCAAGCCTTTGTTTAGCAAGACCCTTTACATTGCAGAGTTACTGCCTAAATTCTCTGACATCCCAGATAACTGCCAAAGAGGGGGTTGCTAGGAAGTCGGCTCCCCATCCTCCATTGCTGAAGCAGCAACTTCTCCAGTTACCTCAGAATGTACACCCAGGAAGCTGTTATGAACAGCGGGCGTTGTCATGTGGCACTAGGAAAGGAAGTCATTTTTGCTTTTCATCTGGTCCTAGCCAAGCAAGTCCCACCCTTTGGTCTGCTGTAGTTTTCTCTCTTTATTGAGGTAGAGTGCTAAGAGAGAGGCCTAGGGAATGTACCTTTGCTGCCTATTTTATAAATGCCTATGTATATGTGCTGCTAGAAGCACTGATACCCAGAAACAGTCTCTATGTCCAGGAAGATTCAGAATTGGCCCTTTCTTAGCCAACTGCTGCAAAGTGCTGCCTCTTTCCCTTCCTCCTCAGTGCCAGAGATCACACCCACTCAATCCCGATTCCCTGCATTAGTATAAATACTAGCGGTGAAGAAACACAGGGTCTCCACGCATGGAACCTCTCTGGAAGTCATTACTCTGTGAGCCTCAAGAGTTAAACCCCACCTCCACCAAGACACATTTGACTATTACACACCCAGAGAACTAAAGCAACACCGCCTGTGGGAAATCGCAGCCAAACTACATTACTGCAGCCCTCTTAAATCCAGGCCCCCCTGGGTCCTTGGGTTGAGCTGGTGCTGCCTGACCAGCAGCTTCTGCTGAGGTGGCATTTCACTTCTGGCCAGGTCCCAGGAGCTGAGGCTGACCCATTTCCCCTGGTTTTCCAGGGCATAGGGAATTTGGTTATACCCCCAACAAAGCCAGGTACTAACACATTAGCTCGTAGTAGGTGCACTTGAGTCGGGGTGCATTTATTTAAACTAAGGAAACGTTGACAGCTTTAGCATTTTCCCACACTTAAAATATATTTAACATTTGTCTTTCCCATATCATAACTCTTCCCACCCTCACCCCACCCTCCCCATTTTTCAAATAGAAATGATTTAGTTTAATGCTCATAAGAATGTATAGGTTCCGGTCTTATTCAATTTAACCCTTTGGGGACAGTGAATTAAAAATTGAACAATATTTATTAAAATACAAAAATACACTTTTCTCACATTACAATCAGTGGTTTTGTTGTTGTTGTTGGTATTCTCCCCACCCATACCACCCCCTTTCACATCTGAACCCTATATTTCCTCTTAAAGCTAAAATAACTGAAAGAAGTTACATATTAAATGGACCAGAATAACAGATCTTGGCCTTCCCCTTCCCCCTTTCCTTACACCACCTCTGGAGGTAGGCCTGGGGGGGAGAAGCTTCCCCAGTGGTGCCCATTCAACAGGACCACATGCAGAACTCACTCATGTATGCATGTGTGTCACTTTTATTTTAACTATGAATTTCACAGTTTTTGTGAAGCATCCTGGCAGGCAAAGGCTTCCGTACTTTACTTGAGCCATGCCCTTTTTGCCTCTCCTTTTTTCTTCTCTACTCATGTTCTGCCCCCACTCCATCATCACAACCAGTTTGCATCAGCTGTAATAATCCCTAATGAATCAGCATTTAGAATAGTCACCAAATTCTAAGCATGAGAAAAGCTTCTACTCCCCCAAGCTCCACGCTCCCAGCCTTTCCTCCCTCTCCACCTTTAAAACAAACAAGACCTTTTTGAGGAATTATAAAATGCCATCATTGTCTACAATCATTTGTCAGATACCTGGAACAACAGGTGGACATGGCACAACACTAATTTATGGCCTCCAGTGAATCATTCTCTGCTTCTGCTCTCCTTCCCCACTCCTTGGTGCCGCACCCCCTTCGGGCTGCCGCCTTCTCCTGGGAAACCCTGAATAGACACATGCCTTGCAGAGTGGGTTAAGCCCAATTGCAGAAATCTGGTGCAGTGTGAAAGCATTTGACTGAAAGCCACACCAGTCTCCCTTCCTTCTTAGCTCTGTCCTGAAGCACTGTCAGGCAGGGATGAGGCATATGCATGTCCCAGTGCAGTGCACAAACCTAGGGATTTGTGCACATGGACAAAGATTCAGCCCCTTTAAGTATTCATTTGATTTTTTTTTTGGTGGTTTTTCCTGCTTAAATATGTTTACAGATTTATCTTCCCTTTGGCCTCTGAAGGAGAAAATAGTTATTGCCTCTCAAAATTTTGGCACAGTACAAATTCATGGTGCTTTTTTTTCTTTTGTATTTTTTTTAGTAAGATAAATCTGCAAAGACAGCTCCTGACTTAAGAAAGACGTCTGTAGAAATGGGTATTCCTGTATCCTATGAAGTTATCTTCTTAAAAAAAGATAATGCGGCCTATCCTTCCTACCCCTTAGTGGCCTGCACTCTGCTCCTTCGTAGGGGTGTTTGCTATTGTTTGAGTTTGTTTTTATCTTAGCACTATCCACCATAAACCAGAAAACTCTTCTGGCAGCACAGCAAGTTGACTTGTAGCTTGTACCCACAACATTCCCAAGATTCCCCACCCTCCCCATTTAAATAGAACTTACAAGTTAGAAAATAGTTTTGTTTTGATTTTTTTCTTTTTAAATTTTAATATAATCTTTTTTTAACCAGCCCATAGATTTAATATATAAGCATATACAAGAAAAAGTCTCTCCCCACTCTGTACAAAAAGTTGCTGTCTCTTTTTTTGTGCATTCTATTGCATTTATAAGTTTTGGGGGGAGGGGGAGTCATATTTGAGTTTCCTGTACCTTGTCCTTGGTATGGGTCTGAATTATATAAGGTTCAGAGATAGTGGTGACTGTGGGGTGTAGAGAGTTCCCCAGGCTGTTTTCTGTCCAGTGGGCCCCGTGTGCTGGTTTGTAGGTGTTGTAGTTAATGTGGTCATGTATTGTGGGCAGCACTACCGCCCCCTCACCTGATACACCGGATGGAGCTGCTGTTGCTGCTGTAGATGCTGCTGCTGGGATGTCTTCATCCACCTGGATAATCTCAACTGTCCGCGCGGCTGCGACTGTGCTCCGCTGCTGGTGCCGCTTGCGAAGTTTATAGAACACAATCAACATGGCGGCAGCTAACAGAGTCACTGCCACAAAGCAGCCAATGATGATCTTGGTGGTCTTCATGACTTCATCCAGACTGGTTTGCATCTTGTCGGTGGTGTCTGTCGCGGGTACTGCCACCTGCTTGGGCACACGGGTGGTCTGAATGAGCACCGTGGTAGAGGTGGTATATGCCGGCTGGTAACCAGTGGATGTGGTAGGAACTGGCTTGTACTTTCGCGTCGTGTCCTCAGGTGAGATCTCCGTGGTCTCCACTGTGACCGTAGTAAAGAAGCTGTAGTTGGAGGTGTTGAGCTCGGCCGTGCTCACATTGAGGTAGGCCGAAGCATTGGAGTTGCCTGCCACATTGGTCACCATACATGTGTATACTCCAGTGTCTGAGAGCAGCACACGGGAAAAGTTCAAGGTGCCATCATTGAGGACAGAGATCCGTGGGTGGCGGGAGGCGTGGCTGAGCACTGTCCCATTGGGCAGCAACCACTTCACAGAGGACATGGGGGGAGTCCGACACTTAAGTTCCGCCATCCGATCCTCAGAGATATTGAGATCACGAGGCGCATCCATGATAAAAGGAGCAGAGCACTGGAAGGAGGCCTGGTCCACCTCCACCAGGTAGCGGCCTCGCATGTGCATGGGAGCGTGGCAGCGACCACAGCAGGTGGAATTGGTAGGTATATATTCCCGAAGCCACCAGGCAAGCCACAGAATGTCACAATCACAGTTCCAAGGATTGTGGTGGAGGTGCAACTCCACCAGGTACCTCAGCGGAGTGAAGAGGTCATGGGGCAAAGAAGAGAGGTTATTGTGGGCCAGGTTGAGTTCCACGAGCGAGGCCAGCCCATCAAAGGCATTCCGCTCAATCAAGCTGACCTGTGAGTTCATGACCCACAGCTTCTTGAGGGAGCTTAGGCCATGGAAGGAGCCAGGCCTGATCTCAGGGAAATGGTTCCCTGACATCTCCAGCTCCTCCAGCCCCACCAGGGGGGTGAGATTGGGCATATCTTTAATGTTGCACATACCCAAGTTCAGGTACTTGAGGTTGAACAGCCCCTCAAAAGCCCCCTCTGAGATATACTCCAGCTTCTTGAGCTCCCCCAAGTCCAGGCGCATGAGGGAGGGCACTCGGTTGAAGGCGTAAGAAGGGATGCTCTCTATGGGGTTGTTGCGAAGCCAGAGCTCCCGCAGCTTGGACAGGTACTCAAAGGCCCCACTGGGGATGACTGTCAGCCAGTTGTCAAACAGCTCCAGGGTGTTGAGGCTGGCCAGGCCGTTGAAGGCTCCCACCTCTATCTGCCTGATGGAGTTCCTGCCCAGCTGCAGGACCTCCAGGTGGTGCAGGTGTCGGAAGGTGTCAGCCTGGATCATCTGGATGTTGTTTTCCATGAGATTGAGGTACCGGGTGTTGGAGGGAATGCCCTGCGGGACCTCAGAGAGGCCCCGGCGGGTGCACACCACCTTGCTGAACTGGTTACTGCAGAAGCAGACGGAGGGGCAGTTCTGGGGCCCGGCGGAGGCGGCAGCAGCGATGGCTGCACAGAGAATGCACACTTGCGCGGTGAGGTAGACGACGGGGAGCAGGACGGCATTCCAGGTGTGGTGCACAGTTACCTGCCACAAGAGCTTCATGGTGTGGCACGTTCATAATTCACCATCGCCTGGGATTTTGGCTCGGAAAGGAGAACCAGCCCTACCCCGGCTTAAGTGAGCTAGGAGCTCCTCTTTCCATCTGGAGAAGGAGGTGGGGAGGGGGCGATTAGAGAGACGGAGCAGATCGGTCGAGCAAAAGCCTGCCAAACTACCGAGCAGAGCGGCCCCTCATCCAGCAGCCCACCCTCAAGGCCAGCCCTCCGAAATCTGAGACTTCTCTCCCACCTTGCAACCATCCCCACCCAATTCGCTGTCCACCTACCTCGGAAGAAAGGCAGCAGAGAACTGGCGCGGTGTCCTTAAGCTTTCTCCATGGGAGCCGGGCACCTCGTTCCCATTTTGACTTCTTAGTTTTAATTAACAAAAGGGGGGAAGTCGTGGGGGTGGGGAGGGCAGAGGGGAGGGGAAAAGAGGGTGGGGGAGACAAAATGGCTTCTAGTAAATCCGGAGCCCGAGCCGGCGAAGCCGCGGAGTTGAGGCGCGCTGGGGAGAGCCAAGGCCCGGCGGGCTATGCAGGTGCATGCCCCCCCCTCAGCCCGGGGAGCGGCGCCACCAGCGCTTCCCTGCTTTGTCCTTGGACCCTGGCACCGGCGCGCTCCAGCCGCGGGGGAAGGCGCTTCATCGCCAAAGTGTGCCTCCGGCGCCCCCAGCCCGCTCCCCCGGCCGCCGCTGGGAGGGGGTGCCGGGGCGCCCCGGAGCCGCCCAGGCCGCGCTCCTTGGCTCGCTGGCTCGCTGGCGGCGGCGGCGCTGCTCCGCGCTCCGCTCTCCGCTCTCCGCTCTCGTGGCGTTGGCCGCTCCGGGCCGGCGGCAGCTGATTGCGGTCGGTCGTGAGCTCGCGGGGCGGCGAGAGTTAAGAGGAGGTGTTGGCAGCGTCTTGCCCTCCCCAGACACACACCCCCTTCCTCCTCGCCTCTTCTCGGAAGGGTTAAAAGACAAAAACTGGGCTGAGTTCTCCAGTCCGCCGTCTGCTGGCACGAGGAGCGGTAATCCGTCCAGCCCCTGAGGGGCAGCGGCGTGGGCACGGGGGCCCGTCCGCCGGCCGAGGAGCGCGTGGCGCCCGCGATC